TTTCCGGTCCATATGTTAGTTATTAACAATTTATTGCCAAAAATTCAATGCCATGCAATCTTTGTTTTTTGTTTATAATATTATATAATAATAGAGTAATAGGAATACTCAACGAGATGATTTGTAGAGAATAAAAATGTCTACAAAATGAGGGGTTGAATTAAAACATTAAAACCTGAAGTAGTAAATAAATGTCCATAAACAGTTTACAATGTACACTTTAGTAGTTATTTTTCCAATATTCCTTGCCAGAGTCCTTACATACAGTTGCTGTTTAAACAGTAATATAAATTAATACTTGCGACGAATCATGTGCATTATTAATAATTGAGTTTGTTTTCTATCAGTAAAATTCTGTAAGCCCAATCAAAATATTTAAACATCTACAGCTTACTGTATATATTGTCTATTAAAAACCAGTATCACTGAGGCAACCTTAAAACGCGGACCGTTTTTCCTTCCGACAATCGGATAGCAAATACCCATCGAATAGCCAGCAAAATCGGAACATGATCGGTACAACTACGGCGTTGAAAGTCCAGTACCATTTTGCTCTCAGATCTTCGTCCGATTGTATGATCGGAGTCGGATCGGATAGATGTGACCCGGCCTTTAGTCCATTTCTGATCAACCTCCTGATGAACAAAATCATAGAAGAAATAACATCCCTGAACTCGGTATACAGAATGAACAACAGGACTATTAGCATGGTCTGCTATGACGACGACGCTGCTATTTTGGCAGAAAGTGAGGATGACCTACAGAGACAGCTATTTAAGTTCCATCAGATCATCAGCAACTCAACATGGACATATCCATAGGTAAAACGAAAACCATGACCATCGCTAAGGAACCTATGAGATGCACGTTGGTAATAGATAATACATCCATAGAGCAAGTCATGCAGTTTAGATCCCTAGGCATAGAGATGTCCAGCGCTCACGACACGGTAAAAGACTTGATATTCCAAATAAACAAATCAGCCATAATATCAGGTTGCCTAAGGAAAACTGTATTGGGATATGGGCTAATCCTTATATGCAAAAGGATAGTAAGATAAAAATATATAAGACATGCGCCAGGCCCATAATGACATATGGTATAGAAGCGAGAAAGGATACCAACAAGACCAAGAGGATGCTGCGAGTCGCCGAAATGTCATTACTGATGACAATAGCAGGGAGAACAAGAAGAGATCGTGTAAGAAACATAGACATTAGAGCACAGAGCGACGTACATGATGTGGTAAGATGGGCAAGGCAGAGGAGAAGAGAAAGGTACAGCCACGTGAAGAGGATGACCGACGATAGACTACCACGCATTGTACTAGAAGGAAAACCAGCAGGGACCCGTCCACCTGGAGAACCACCAAAGAGATGGAAAGACAGCTGGCAGTCCACATCTCAGGAAACAATACCGAGACAAGCGCGGAATCAATACATCAACTAGATCTCATCAAACAAGTAGAAGAATAAGAAGAAGAAGTTTACTAAAACAACAGAGATCAGTTTGTCTTGACTTTAGTCTTTTAATGGTTTTTATAAAAGTTTTGGTCCTCGAAAAGCATAAAAAAGCGAAAGTTTAAGAAAGTCAAAAACGCCTGCACTGAAATTTATTTAATACGCTAAAAATGGAATAATTTTTTTCAGCTCCAAAAAACAAATAAAACCTAAAAACTGTGAAATAATATCAATATTAAATCAAAGTCATCTAGGCTTTTTTAACTTTCTCTAGGTGAAAAATTGCAAATCCTCTAAATCGAATCGGTTGTTTTCGTATTAACCTTGCAGTTGGTGGTTCTTTTTCTTAGCGGCATGGCATAAATCGAGTTTCAGAACTTTGCAATTCCCGATACAAGGCAATACATAAATCTGCAAAACTTCCACGATTAAAACTTGGAGGATACGTCTTGGGAAACTGAGAGATATCTGCTGTATGGCCCGGTCATAATTTAGAATACATATTGTCATTTATTAGAAGTTTTATCAGGTGGGAGAATCTCTGGAATATATCTTGCGACCGTCCTAGAAAAGGTCCCGAAAAGTTTTGACGCGTCACTTAACTTTAAATTTTAAAAAAGTTATTTTCTGCCTCTCGGGCTCTTTTTCCACCGTCGTCACCGAAACTTTTACGATTGTGATTAAAATTTTATAATGATTAATGATCCAGATTTGCAAAGCATTCACTAAAAAAGTTCCAGATTTTAAATTTCTAATGGTCAGTTTTTTTGTATTTTAAACGGTCCAAAAATTTTAATTTATTTGTGTTCGTTTGTATATTTGTTTTCTTTAAGGATTTGTTATCTGTCATTTTCTTATTTTAGATTATAGGTGCAGTGTTGTCGGTTGTTTCTGTAATGAGTCATCAAATCAGACTAAGACGTTTTAAAAAACACCAGCATTGTTGAATTTTGATTCTTTCAATATTTCAGTTTAGATAATAACGGGTTATCCAATTCGAGGTTGGGAAAGTAAAACCTTGCTATTTGAAATCTGTCAAAGGTAAACGTCATCCGAACCGTTTTTGTTTTATTTGAAGGTTTGCTATTTTGGAATATGGATCGTTTAGTTGTCGAAGAACGCTTAAAAATTATTAAATGTTACTATTAAATGGTGATTCTGCAGTATCAACGTTTAGGGCTTTACGAGCAGATTACGGTCGACATAATCGACCCACAGATCAAACAATTTCAAACACATTTGAAAAATTTGAAGAGACTGGATCGGCGTGATATTGTAAGGCCTGTGCATCATCGCAACATTCGTTTAGCTGAAACTATCGCTGCTGTTGGTCAAAGTGTGGAGGAAGACCCGAATTCGTCGATTCCCCGACGTGCTCAACATTTGGAATTGTCTTATGGCTCATTGTGGCGAATTTTGCAATTGGATTTGCAGCTCCATCCGTACAAAGTCCAACTGACTCAAGAACTTAAGCCTCAAGACCATGGGCAACGCAGAACATATGCAAATTGGGTAATTGAACAATAAGACGTTGATAATTTTTCGAACCGAATTTTCGTCCGCGATGAGGCTCATTTTTCGCTCGGTGGTTACGTGAATAAACAGAACAGCCGTATATGGGGCTCTCAAAATCCTCAGGTGATCGCAGAAAGGCCTTTGCATCCTGAAAAAGTGGCCATATGGTGATCGCATTACCCGCAAGATCCTGCGACTTAACACCGCCAGATTTCTTTTTGTGGGGCTTTGCGAAAAATCGTGTTTACGACAACAATCCTCAAACTCTTGAGCAACTGAAAGCCAATGTCCGTAAAGTTATGATCCGAAGCAATATCCGTGAAGTAATGTATTACCGGTAGTGTGACATGACATGACAAAAAACATCATTGCCGCTTTGACTTTTCATCAAAAAATTGTAGAAGGGTACTTTTCGTATTCCAATAGGCTTCCAATCAAACGTGGGACCCCTTCAAAATAATGCTTAATAACAAAGTTGAAATTCGATCTTTAACTGTTAATATATTTTTGAATTTTTCGAAAAAAAAATTTTCAATATTTTTCTTGTACTCTCTAAGTGGGTCCCTATATACCCTTAGAAGGAATAACGCCAACTTTGAATCACCCTGTATGAAACGAATATAATACGCTGTGGATAGTTGAAGGTGGAAGCAGACACCTCAATTAAATTTAAAGTTAGGACTTTGACTTATTGTTAACGTAGCTGGAAAAGAGAAATCAGTTAACAACAATAACCTAAAATATAAAGGGTACGCTATAGGGAAAAGCTGTAATAAGTAAATACACGCACATTAAAACGTTGTTTGTTTTACCTACAAAAATTGATGTTTACAAAATAAGAATTAAAATGATATAGTAAAACTTTAAAAGTTCAAAGTTGAAAGAAAATATTAAAAAAATAATCAACAAGTACTTTATCATACGAATATCGCTCCATAAAATGTACACAGCTGCACATGCGAGCAGCATAAATGTTTCCAAAGTACAACTACAACCCTGGTTGCCACCTACTTCTACACAATAATTGCTGTCCGGATTCAGATCGCTGAAATTCCCTTGAACCCCGATTTTTCTTCAAAAAAAAAAAACCATTTAGTGGCTTAAATTTAGAAGAATACCTGCAAATATGGTAAATATTTCGAATTAATAAATAATAAGCACGTATGGATGTTCAGTCAGCGAGGTGATGTTATAATCATATTATGTCTACTTACAATAATATAATACAGTATATTGAATAATAAAAAAAATTAATAAATCTTGATCTGGACCACTTACAGCCTGACGGGCGGGGGACGGCAAAAACTGGGAATAGTCGGATGGATCCTGGTAACTGAAATTCCCTAATACGAATCCTTTGGCAAAAATTATTTTTTTAATGTCATAAATTTGGAAAAATGCCGCAAAATCTAAACTGGTAGGCCAGTACCACTTGCAACCTCTTAAGGCGCTATTCGCTAGACCATCACAAAATAATAAATGTGATTGACATACCTTTAGGCACTTCTGGTTTCTGGGGTATTAATAACTTTAAAAACAGCAAACATTTTAATTCACAGCACAAAAGCACTAATAATTTATATCTTAGCTTCGAAGATAATTAAAGATGTGTTCGCAACAGAACATCACAAGTTTGCATAATCAAGAAATCTGACTATTCAATAATTAATGTTAAAAAACTGAGCGAGAAAATAGACAAAAGTTGAGCAATCCAATATAATACAAGAACCGTTTAGTTCAGTGTAATGGAAAACAGGAAAACCGCAATAGTTCATAAAAGATACAGTACGCGACACAAAACCTGTAGTTCACAAGAGAACGACATTTAGCTTTCATTTATCCTGTACAAATTCGTGTAACAACAGTTTTCCAAAGAAAATATCGAATAAATGTATAAATACGGATAGAAATGATTTTTAAGTTTTACAAAAATAAATTAAAAACATTGAAAACCCCAATACAGAATCCAGAAACTCCCTCGTTTCTCGTCGAATAAATATGACATGCAACAATATCATAAAATACAAATCAACAATATGAGACTACAAGTTCTATACCTACATGGCAACCAGAGACAAAGTAATGCCAAACTTACCGAAAGCTGCCTCGTGCCACCTGGAAAGAAAAAAGAAAATGTGTTTGAAACAGCAGAAAATCCGAAGCCAATTTACTTGAAAATCAGCAAAGCAAAGAGAGAGAAATTTAAAGAATGTATAAAACATCAATTTCGTTTGGTGAACCTAAAATCAGTTCGAGCTAAGGGATTTATAGATAGAGAATATAAACTTACCGGCTTCCTGCAAGCTGGTGCTCCTTCCACCATTTTTTTCCAATTAATCCTCCAATCTTCCAAAAAGGTTACACACATAGTGAAGAATTAAAACAAGTTAAAAACTTGCAATAAATCCTGCAGTTAACGGAAAGGGTGATCTACAGCACCCACTTTATTGGCACCAAATCACTCTATATATCTCGGTAAGACACCAGGATAAAATCAGTAAGAACTTACCACTTACTTCGTTAGTTGCTCGTAAGAAACTGAAAAATTTGCTCTGCGTTTGGAAAAAATTTGTGCGATTTGAACCCAACCACAGAATCAATCTGATGATATAATCATTTGCTTGCTCGCCCTTTGGATGACTAATTCCTTTGCTTCGCAGTTCGATTACAGTTTTTTTGTTGTTTACAATTGTACGTTTTTAAAGGAAGGATTCTGAATTAAACTGGTTTTGACGATCGCCGTGAACAAAACAGTTTTTCCAGCCTAATATAAACAATTCCAATAGCGGGGAGGATTAGACTTTATGATATAAAATTGAATGCGATCACTCCGATTAGTTTTTTGCCAGGTTTTTTCAAATTTATTTCCTGTTTGGCGGTTCTCATCCTCCTCCGAGCATCGATTTGTGATATGCTTCAAAATATTTAATAATAAAAGGTCGTGAACCAGAAAAGGAGCTGTACAGAAAGCGAGAGGTAGTTTTATTCTATTCTAGTGCCACCTTTGTCTTTTGTTGATTCCATTTTTTTTGCAATAACTTGGGAAAAAGTGGTTTAGTAAAATCTAGTATCTACAAGTAAAAGTTGTCAATGTTTTAGCTGCAACTGTACGAGTCAAGTCAAATTTAAGTCCGAATCAATAGAAAAATTACGACTCCAATAAAAGTTTTTTCCAGGAAAATGTAGAGGGTTATTGATTGAACTTTGGCCACCTCGTTTTTGCATCTAATTTGAAATTTAGAGAAAAATGTTAAATACAGAAGTTGTAGATATTAACGTCCAATTTATTTTAAGCTAATACCAATTGATACAGGGTGTCTCAAATTCAAGCGACTGACCAGACTCAATTTTGTATAAATGGAATGCCCTAATATTTTAATGGTTATTAACTCAAAAACAGTTGAGGATCAATACAGAACATATTATATCCAAGGGGACTGGAATTTTGCGTAAAGTTCGAATATGAAATAAAAAGTGCGCGATTCTATCAATTGGTATTCTCTTACACTAAAGTAGGCGTTCATATCTAAAACTTTTGTATTTAATATTTTTATCTAAATTTCAAATTAGATGTTAAAACGGCCTGACCAAAGTTCAATCAATAACCCTGTACAATCATCAATCAATATGAGCATATCAACCTACAACACAAAATATATAACGTACAAAACTCCAATGCATATGTAGACAGACTGACGTATAGACAATTTTAAAATTTATCATCAGAAAAATATGAGGATATAGAGAAGCTTAAAGGTTGAAGTTTAAGAGCAAACATACAACGCGAGGAATAGCAACTGTCTCAAGAATTTAATCCGATGGAATAAACACAGTCGAATAGAGAAAAAGTTCAAACTATATAAAACAACAATCAAACTAACAATGCTTTAAAACGTCTTAGCAGAACACACCAGGAAAACTACTAAAAAGCTTCTAGGAACAAGACGAAAATCGATCGACAAGAATCACTGGAAAAACATGCGGATCTAAGAAAAGCAACTGCGAGAACCGATCATTTTTCTGGAAAACAAACCTGTGATTCTCAAATTAACTCAATCTTTATTAGGATAAGTATTAACTGAATCAAATACGAAAGATATTTTAACCGGATTTTATTGGCAATTTCAGAGCTTTGAGGCTTAAATTTGGCAAGACGCTTATCCTAAAAATTTACGGTATCCTACCCTTCCATTCGATTTATGGGTGGATTTAATAATAAATGTATTTACATGCTGACCCAACGGAATATAGATCGACCGTTTTAAAGCTTAATACTCTCGAACACGACGGCCAATTTCTGGCTCAGGTTACCCCATAATTGACCTGCTGCCTGAATAAAAAATTTAAAGCACATCCATCTTAAAATAAAAGTCATGAAGGCGACTTCTCGCAAGCTCATTTTCCGTGAAGATTAAAAACATCGTCTCATTTAACAGAAAAATCGACTCGCCTTTCAGAGAGCCGCAGCGAAAAAAGTGACCTCAATTTTTTATTTAAGGTCCGGGTTCTCTCCTTTAATTCGGTATCCAGGAATAAAGTGGCTCGGTTGAGGCGACGGAACGAAAACTGGATAGAAATAAGACTGGGCATGGTTTGAACTCTCTTGGATACTGGGAATGGGCGCAAACTACAAAGGGCAATGTCGTCTCGCTGCGGCGTCAATATTTCACTGTTTTATACAGGCTTTGTTACGTTAGACTGATGGATAAAATCACATTTTCAAAATGTGTTTTGTCTCTTATATCTTGTCACAATTGTGAGTGGTCTCCAGCAGCGTTCAGATTGCAACCCATTTATGTTACTGTGCCTGCTGCTTCCAAAGTTTTGCCTACGCCGCAAATTTTACGACTCTGCTGGAACACTACAAACACAATCGAACTAAATTGGAAAATAAATGTAAAGCTGTTTTTTCACTTACGCAATTCGCTACGGTAACGCTCGAATACCATGGAATTGCTGGTTCACACTAGAGGTGTGATAAACGGTTATTTTCCTGTAACGGGTTCCACCGTTCCAGTTTTACCTTGGTAATAGGTTTGAAAATGCGGTTCCAAAAGGAACATGTTACTTTTTCAATTTTTCATTAAAAATGCAGAATAATGATGATAGTAGAAATAGCGATAATATATAATGATTTTCTTTATTAAAAACATAATTCTTATGATTGGTAAACTTAAAATAAAATGTTGTAAAATCGAAAACAAAACATGGGTCAGAAGTAACTACTTAAAGAACAAGAAAACTGATAATAATGAAACTAGAGTGATTAAATCACATTAAAATATACAGTTTACATGCGAAAATAACAAAAAATTTCATTCTCTTCTTCTTTCATCTTCACGCGTTTGTAATATCACCCGCTTTAGAAAATAATATTTCGCATTTCGTTTCACAATAACATTAAATAATTCATAATAACAACAAACAGAAATGCGTGTTTGGCAAACCTGGACGAAGTATTACTCGAGTTAATTTTGGTACCACCAAAACATAATTTAAAAAAATATGTCTTAACAAAATGTCACAAATATGTCTTACAACGTTTATTACTATTCAAATTACTTTCATTTCATCTCTGACTGAATTTATATTTAAAAATGGCTTAAATGCTTAAATGCAGGTGCACATTTTGCTTAAAACATTTGTTATTTTACATTTCAAATTTATGTCTTAGACTCTTAGTTTGCTCATAGCGCATATGCAAGTGTACATTCTGCTTAGTTTGCTGGTAATGGGCATGTAACCCTAGAGCTAAGCTTCTTTAAGAGTTATTACAGAACGTCAGAAAACTAAATGCTTATCGACTAAAATTGCTGAATTATATCATCGCAGCAACTAAACAAATGTTCGCTGGTTCCTGAAACTGCTGCAACTGGATAGAGCGCTCAACGATGCCGCACAGGTTCTGTGCTGACGCGAACCACTTTTTCAGGTTTTTGAGACGGTTCCAAAAAGAACGGTTTAAATCAGCAAACGGCTGTAGCTGGTGCGAAGTAAACACAACTGTCTCGGTTTTATGAGACGGTTCCAAAAATAACCGGTTAAATCGGTTAGCTGTAACTACGGTTTCAGAAGTTACACGTTTGGAACACTGTTATTTTATTACGTTAAATACCAACCATCCCTAGTTCACACTAGGTATTTAAGGTGTTTTTTGTAAATGGTATTTCAGCCGGGTCGTGAAGCCCTTAAAGACACACTGGAATTTATGATTTTAGTTTTAGTCTGCTGAGGACGATAAAGCCAGAACACAATTTTAACGCTGTTAAGTTGGTCATTTAATTTTGTCATTGAGAGCCGCAATAAATTGTAGCAATATCAAGTACAACGAATTGCGTAAGTTCAAATCTAGCTTAAGATAGTAGATTCGATTAAAACTAGGTTAGTTTGGTAGATTTATAACTTTTATTTTATAATTTTTTAATCCTTAACACACCATACAACTGTAAATGCAAGGACAGACAGACCGATTTGGTTGATAAGTTTTTTCGAAATAAATATATATTATTGTTATTAAGGATTATTCTTAAGTTCAGGTTCCTTAACCCAAGGGTGCTTCATGGCGTCAGTTAGAGTCACTCGACGATCGCTCGTGATGACAATCAGCCGAAAACATTTGAGTGTAAAACAGTCAAACACAACCGATACTTAGTCTTAGTCTTAGTTTAACTTAATCACGCCTCGAGCGTCGAGCGTAAGAGTTAAAGTTATCAAAGGAAAAAACTGTATCGAGTTTTATTATGCGACGTTACGTTTTCTTCTGGTCCTTGCCCTCAAACGGAGGATTGTCAATTGCCATGCAGAAAATCGTACCGCAGAACACCTAAAAAGGCAATTTCGACAATAGATTGCTTTCCCTTCCATTGAGGGCGTACCTGGACACCAATGGTTCACATAGTGTTTGCTCCAGTGCGCTTAGTCCAAAGTGCCTCACAACGCACTTTGAGCTATATTCCCCTGAAATCGAGGCGAGTGTACAGATCATCCGAAAACCGCCAACTTTATATCGCCGGTGATGGTCAGCAAGAGATTTTGCGAGAGTTTCGTCAATTTTTGGTGCCTTATCGCTAGCTTTTGTCGGCATATTCCAAAATGAGTAGATGAGATGCGAGTCGTGAAACCAGACCAAAAGTTTTTTCGGTAGCAAAATGAAAATAAAAAACACTTACCGTAAGTGAGTCTCGATGTTGAAATCCGAACAAAATCTAAACACATTGGTGGTGAGGGTCTTCTTTCTCAAAGTCCTCATAATCTGCCTCTGCACTCGGCTCAGGCACAGCGTAAATATTATATATTATGGATTATAATATAATATAAAAATTATAATATTTATGCTGTGGCCCCGCCTTCATTAGGGATCTTTCACTCGCCATATAGACTCGACCGAATTTGCCTCTGTCTAATCGGTGGCCTAGCTCGAAGTCGTTTATAGTTTGAAAGTAGCTGTGTTTGCGTTAGTTTGGATTTAGGTTGATTTAGTTTGGCAGCTTTGGAAGATGAAATATCTTTAAATGAATGGATGCAGCCTTGCCTGACTAAGCAGCTCATGCTGTTGCAGTTGCATGAAACCAAAAATATAATCGCAACCTAGGAACGATAGGTCGATAAAGGGAACATTCTCACAGTGTAAAAGTCACAATCCGGAAATAAAGTATTAGAAGGCGGCGGATGCAAATAATCCAACAGAATTCTAACGATCTATTTGTGCAAACAGTGATAATTTAGCCTTGTTTGGGTTACACACACTATGGATTGTTGAAAGCAACCAAGGAAAGCCCACCACAGTTGAGACAACCGAACAGGCAATGAAGATGAGACCACAGACAAACTGAAGCAACGGTCAGAGTAAATTGAATATTTTCAACTTAGCAAATAATATTTCAAACGAAAAAAGCTTGGAACTCTAAAAAAGTCGAATTCCTTAAATACATTAGCTTCAGCTGATAAGCAACAAAATCATTTTATAGCATATTTTGAACGCACGACAAGTATTTCAATAACATATATATTAAACCATCTCAAGAAAATATCAACCGCATTGGAATGGATTTTAATAAATGTTTCTGGATAAATATCTTTTTCTTTTTTAGCCAAAAAATATGTCAAGGTTGTGAAGCGAGGTGGTTATTACTGGGTTCCGCACAGAAAACCATCCTTTAACCAACCTGGCGGGAACTGGCACAAAAATGTTATTTGAAAAATATTACTCGCAAACGTAACTTAATACTATTAAAAACACCACATTTGACTAAAAAACTTATTTTTTATTTATATGTAATTAACAAAAGCAATTAAAAACTGTATCAATCAAATCATTCTTGTAACGCGCCGTCATCGGCTGGGACCAGTTGTGACGTCAAACGGCTCGTCGCCGCGGCGTCTGCAATCCGAAGCATGTAAATATGCAACATCAGTATTGCTATTGTTGTTAAAACGTGTATATAGTGTATTAGGCAAAAAAGATTTTTTTCAAAATAACTGACGCAGGTTTTGTAAAAGGACAATGTGCCATTTTACCACTAGTGGATATGTTTATGGTGGCGTCTTACATTAAAAACACCGAAAGTTTTACTCTTGCTGAAGTTCGCAGTGTTAAAGCTGACAGGTATATTTATAGATAAAATAGTCAATAGTTTTACTGATATAAATCGATAAAATGTTAGATTGGGGTTTTACTGGCTCTAATTTTCAAAATTCAAATGAAACCTATTGACCAAAATGTAAGTGATTCAACAAAAAAATCAGAAAGTATTGTTTTCATGCTAGTAAACATTAAATAACATCATTAAGTGTGTCATTAACAGTGATTTGGCATTGATGCAAAATAGAGCGTTAATGATTAAATATATCCTTAGTTACTTACTAAGAATAACAATGTTAAGTACAAAAATATGTACTAAGTAAAAAAACGTTATTTACAGATCGGGCAGGTATTCTTATGGAGTTTCTGCAGTAGGATGGGTGCAAGTTGTAGCGTAGTGCAGTACTCTAGCCTTCACTATTTTCAGACCTCCCATTAACTTCAATTTAACATAGTTATCCATATCTTCTTCCAGCTAGAAAAAATTAATAATATTAAAGTGACATAAACATATGTGTTAATATTAATATTGTATGACAAAAATAGTAGGTATTTAACGTAAATGCACGACGATAAAACCAGATTTTTTCTTCGCAGATACTTGTACGTTTTTACCGTCTAGTATAGCAATTAATTATTTTTGAGGTGATTATTTACTATTACTATAATGCAGTCGAGAAGCAAACAAAATACCAATTCAAAGTATTTACCTGTTATACAATAGACAAAATAAAATCTGTTTTTTATACTTACGTTAAAATGATCTTCACGTACATGGGCAGTATTCTTCTCCGAAATATCCTTGCGTATATATCTTTAACCTTTAATCATTTTAAACACCGGCTTTTATCTCGTGGTACACGAATAAATAGCTTATCTGACGTTTTAAAAGTTGTACTACGACACAATGGCACCATACAGCATTTGTAATATTGCTTTTGTGTTGCTTCCATTATTAATGAAGCACAACACGAATTCTGAACAGTCAAACACCCAGACAATTCAACGACAAACGGTATTCCCGTATTGCCTTTCGATGGAACGAACTAGCGCTATGACGTCACGACCATTCCCGCACGTTTAGTGTCGTTTCAAATGAATAGCCTGCGGTCACAAATTTACTCTAGCGATGTTAGCACTAAGGACCCGTAGAGTAAGTAGCAGTAAGAAGTTTGTAAACTTAGCTGAAATAAATATGTTCCAACAGGTCACAAATTTAATTGTTTATTGCAAATTAAATATTGCGATTTGAGGGCCGATATTTGGTATGCGCGATTTCTATAGACAGGCCAATATATTAAATAAATTTAAAAAAATGTTCAAGTTTTGAATATGAATTTGTTTTGAATATAAAATGAATTCCTTTGAATACTCGGGCTTCTAGGCCGGGACGGATGAAATTTAAACACCGTTAATTCCGGATAGTCGCTTTTTGAATTCTTCCCGAATCATCACCCGAATTCGTATCAAATTTTGATGTTTAATGGAGTTTTGTTGCCCTTAATTGCTGCTTAAGTAAAAGAAAATAAAGTAGTTGAAAATGCGCTTCCTATGTTCAATTACATTCGTGGGCATTTCCAATAATTTAAAGTTTCCGGGCCTGATTCATGTTCCACCTTTTATAGCAATGTCGCTAAATTAGATTAGCATCAGCACCTCAATCAACAAATCGGAGCCCGATTTTTCTTTCTTTTATTTCCGAACTACTCGTATTTATCTAACGGTTCGGATGGCCTTAACTTAATTTAACTCCCGGTTAAATCCAATAGCTTTCAATGAGTATTCTCTCAGAATAGCAATTATAGATCGAGTTTGGGAAATCCTATTTATTTGAACGAGAAAGGTGCCAGCTGAAAGGACGAATGGATTAATTTCGCAAAAGAATAACGCACTAACTATAGAATAAACAGTGGACTTTCTTCAAGTGTATTTCTATTTTAATTAAAGCTGCTCTAAAAAGACCAATTGAAGCCAAGAAAATCTCCTATACCCACACCAGATTATCTCATTAGTGTGACTACTATGTAGACCCAATTCGCTCTCTTTGCGAATTAGCTCTATTCCTTCCAAGCTGGGGTGCAAATTAAAAAAAAAGAAAGGACAATAAGCAATAACGAATGAAAAAAAATTGTATTAAACCTCGTCACCCAATTTGCAGTTTTCAATTTAAACCCGGATTGCGACAACGGAACCTAACGACATAATTCCATTTCTATTCTACTGCGAATTCAGCTTTTGTTGAAGTCAATAAATTTCGAATGGACAGTCTGCGGAAATTATACCGTCCACACTGCAGAGTTAATTCGGAATAATACCTGAGAGTACGATTGAATTCGGCTCGCTCATATTGATTTATGCAGTTACTCGGGAAATGGATTATGGACTGATATTAAGGCACAATGGGCCATATTCCCGACGGTTCTCCAAGTAATATTTATGTGTGATAATACACTTGGCTTGGACGAAAGAAATCTTAATTATTATGGCGAACGCAGAACTTTAATCGCCTTCAAAAACATATAAAGAAGAAAATTGGCCGAAATTCGAGCTTCCCCCATAAATTTCTTTCTCCGGGCAGAAGGCGAGATCGAACAATGGCCAAATTGCCTAAAATTGCCGCGTGTACGTCAAGATAATATTAAGCCCAATAAAATATAGGGAATAAAATATATAGGGCCCAATATCATAAAATTTTGCGGACAAACCGACCCCGCAAAAGAATTTCACTGAAATCTGACCGATAAAAAGTAATTTTTCACAATGGCTCAACGACCAACAAAGTTTTAGCTTTAGAGACCGCTTTTCGACTTAGAAACTAACAAAGACATAATCTACCTTAATTTATTCGCATGCACATATTTATTCTACAAATCCCATAGCTTCTTAACTGCAAAGTTTGCACAAAACTACATTAATAATCAGACTTGGATAAGCATTAGAAAAGCTATATTCAAACAAAGTAAACTTAACAGCCCTAAAAGAGTTTTGGCTGGTCTAACTGCTACTCAAATACTAAAGATTTGGTGAAACGACACTCCATTTCCAGATATCGTTGCACGCTGATCTGAAGGTTGGCGATTTGTTGGTTTAATCTTCGGAAAGCTAACCGGAAGTCAAATTGATGTCGACTGAAATTACATTTCGAGCTATAATCGCAATCGCAGTGTCTACTTGATTGGGCACCGAAAAAAAATCTATTCGAAAGATTTCGTTGATAAACGGGCGGCGAGTTGAACAACAAGCATTTCAATTAACCGGGACTTGTAAATCCCGCTCTTAAATTTCACTGAAATTGATTTTGTAACTGCAAGCGGCTAAATATTTAATTAAAATGGAAGAGTCGAGAGTGATTTCGCTAAAATGTAACAAAACATGTATGAAGGGATGCGTGTTTTATTTAGCCCCGCGCCAAGCCGAAGTGAAAAAGATATTCGCATTAGACCGCTTATATAAATGAAAGCAAAGAGAAAAATGTCATTTTTCCAAAGCGAAAACCCAGGATTCATAAAGATAAAAATGGAAATAGACATTAATCAAGCTGGGAGTCTGGCATTTAAGGTTTTGTATATAAGAACTCTAAAGGATGGAATGATTAATTTTACTTTTCGCGTGGCGCTGTTCCTGAAATACAACTCTGCAACAAACGAAATACACAAGTTAAAGAAGAAAGTTAAAAAAACCGCCCTGTATACAGGATTTAAACTTTCGGAATACAAATCAAACTCGAAGGGTAGACCCAAAACAGGCCGCTTTTTGCCGAAGAACAAACATGACCCGAATTTGGGTCTGTTTAATTTCGGCAGGCCGAGGTGTGAAAAAGCCCTATTAATCATCGCTTAATTTTAATGGCGCCAGAAAAACTTTCCATCTTCCTAATATATAATACGGCGAACTGAACCCGGTAGCTAGTAGTAGTAGGTAATCAAGCCAAAAACATCGAAAAGGCAGGAATAAAGGAAAGTGTTAAATTTCAATATGTTCAAAAAATTGTAGACAGACATATGTAGTATAACTTAATAATGTTTACTTTTTCGCTCTAGAATTACATTCATTACAGTAATTTACAAAACATATCGTTTACCTCATATTTCCGAGTCATATTCCTATAGGATTTACTTTTAATTCTCATTTCGTTTTCTTATGTAAAAAGTAGAATAAACCGTACAATTCAATTACAAGCAATTAAAATGGGAAGCGAAAATTTGTTGTTTCGCAAAATGTAGAATTATACATAAGTCCCAATTATGGGTTTTCTTATAAATTTACAGATATTGAGAAAGTTTGCAAAAATGTAGAATAAACAATATAAATATGGAATACAATATAAAAATCAAGTATATGTTTCTATGTGAATGTATAAAGAAATTACTAAATCTGTATGAAGATCACAATTAATTAGTAGCCCCTTAATAATTAATATTTACTTGTTAGAGCTAAACGCTTAGTCCAGTTGTTTGAGCAACTCTTGCAACTGATAAATATCATGTTCCTTCTCAATTTGGTCTTGCAAAAGTTGTTCAACAATTCCCTGAAATCGTTGCCTCAAAGAGAGATTTTCTATACTCTCTATTTTCAGTTCTTGTTCCATTCGCCTTGACTTAATAGCATTGAGCTTCGCATTAAGTTCTTCCAACTTGCCTTCAATTGTCCCTGAAATGGAAACAATTTCATAACTTCTAAATTTGCATTATAAAATTTACTTCACACCTCGACTTAAGTTTGGCTCTGCAAACGACATACTGGGCTCGGAAAAGCTCATGTTTGAAGACATCTGCCCATAATAATCCACCTCTTGCAGCATGGTTGGTGACGCTTCGAACATTTCACTTGAAAATTCTGTAATCAATTTCTGGTCTGAAGTGTTCTGAAAAATAAAATTGGGATTTAGTACGTATAATTTAATAAAAAAGAAAAATTTGGTTAAAACTACACTGTTTTGCGATTTGGTTTATTTTAAAAGCATCGACAGAACTTTGTAACTGCAATCTAGTCATAATTTATGCATGGTAAACTGAGACTTACCAGCACCGAATTAGAATCCGTTAGATGGCTATCTTCTCCGGAATTTTGGCTATTTTCATCGATCACATCCAAAACATTGAGATGAGCATCTTCGTCTTCAGAATCGCTTACCGCACCTCCGAAAATATCGTCCTCAGCTAGTTTGGGTTGCAGCTCAGGATCCAGCACTTCCTTCTTGATCAAAACCGTTCCTTTGTTCACTTTATTTTCATCATCCTCATTAATTACCTCCCATTTTACGCTGACCTGTGAATAAAGCACGTGCTTAAAACGAATAGGTACATAGCTTAATATTGCTCATACAGCATCGTTATCGATTCGCAACAGTCTCTTAACTTCTTTTTCAATCTCCGGTGCTTCCACATACTTCTTTTTAAGAGTTTTCCTAAATCTCCTCTTCCGGACATTTTTTGCTGGTGGAGTGATTCCATGGGGCCATAGATATTTTTTATCAACTTTGTTCGAATCTAGTTAATCAAAAACAGACAGATATTTTTATTTACAATGGGTAATGTATAAGTTGAATATTCGTATTTTAAGTTAAGTAACTTTACTACAAGTTAAATAAGTTAAGAAACTTTAGTATACAGTTTATATATACTCTTTGAAGAAAAACATGTTTTCCTCAATAAATAGTAACAATTTTTACTCGCTTTACTTTACATTTGATATTTATATTTTAGGAATAAAAATATATCTTGCTGATTACTACCCGTAGTAAATGAGCCTCTTGCTCTGTGATACCCTACGTACCTTTCTTTTTCTTCTGCGTGCTTTCCTCATCGGTTACCTGATCTTCCTCCTCCTTGCAGAGCAGCATTTGACAAATATCCGCCGTTTTATAGAAGGTTTTACCATCAATAGTTTTGAGAGACTCTATTACAGTGGGTAAATCAACCACTTTGCCCGGCAGAAGCCAGTGGTCAAGTCGGACTTCCGCATGTCTCATATCGTTCTCAATTTTTATGTTAAATCGGTCCTTAAGCGTTTCACAATTACGGAGAGTGTCTCGTAGGGCTTTGCTGGGTTCCTAAGACCAAAAAGAGGCAAATTACTTAGTTGCTGCGATATGTTAAAAATGCAAGCCAAAAGCCATATTTGATCACTATTTGATAAATATATCGATCGGTATCAACCGAGTACCAATTTTACCCCTGCCACTTTATTTTTCAATCAATTTTTTATCGTTTTTCTCTTCATTTTATTTTCATTCGTCGATCCATAGAAGCCAATGTTGCTCTCAAACAAATCGGGATTTAAGAATTATTATCTTCGACTAACAGTGGTGTTATTTCCTGAGCGGAAACTTAATTAAAGTTAAGAAAACACAGGGTTTTTAAATTTGGTTAAAAAAATAAAAATTATTAATTGTTGGGAAACGGCCATGGATATTGGAACGAAATATTTCAAAAGATAACTGCCAACGAGGGAGCACATTTTCCAATAAAAACTAAAATGTTGGTGGTATCACTGGCGTTCGTACTAACACGTTAATGGATGTTTTAGACAAAAAGGGAGTTTTAGTTTTTGGCATTGGCTCGATAGAAGAATATCCACTTTTTGCACAAAATTCTGATAAATTAATTCTGATTCAGTAGGCGAACAGTAACAAATTACCATTACACATGAAAATCCCCGAGAGATTCACCCACGGTAATTTCAAAATTAATTTGCACTACACGATTGGTTAGGATTTTTTTCATAATAATTTGTAGACCACATTTTCAACCCCTCAAGATTGAATTCAGAACTATTCCTTGAATTTCGCACTTATTCCATAATTTTTCTTATTTCATAGACAACAAAGGACTGAATTTCTACTACTTGACCCTCCTGGCTCAAAAGCTGGATCCGCCCCTAACTCTTCCCCCTTTGTGACCCATTCCCATATGTTTAAGAGGAGGGACAAAATAAATGTCACCGAGACTTGATTATGCGTTTATGAATGAATCTCTCCATTTATACTTTATCCCTATCCGCCCCCCCTCCTATACATACATATAGACTTTAATCTGTGAGTATAACATTAGCCCTACTTGTTTATTTTCATTCAGTAATCGTGGTCTAATAATAAGTATTGTTCTATGATCATGGATCATTATAAAATAATGCTGCTTTCAAACAACGGTATTATGAATATTTAGCTTCATCTATTAATGTTTGCTCCAAAGCAAGCAATGAAAACAAGCAAAAATATGGAGCATGAAAAAGGCGACCATAATTCAAAGAAACACGGGCAAATATCAATTCAATTTTGATTTTTGTATTTCCTAACGGTAAAAATTAGTTTTAAAAGCCAGAATCCATGCAAATAAACCCAAATAAAAGCATGCAGCCCCATAAAACAGCATGTTCTTCATGTTAAGAGGTTATAAAAATAAAACATAGTTACCATGGGCATCCTGAGGACAAATTGCGATTCCAATTCAGCAGGGCCATCGTCAATTTCTTTAGCTTTAGAATACATGGCTGTAGTTGCAGTTTATCCGAAAAATAGTGTAAATAATTTAAGAATCTAAACAAAAATATTGTTTTACAGAAAGTAGGGTTACGTCGTATGTCTGCAGCGTTGCCAGGTCCGAGAATCGAGTTTCGGTAGAAAAGCTCGACACTTCGGTAGGTATCGTAAAAATCGGTAGATCAATTTTTCTTTCATCGCTAAGGGCTCCATAAAATGGCGCGTTTTTTAAAACTTCAACTTTTATGAACTTACAGCAGTACTAAAATAAACATAAGAGTCAATAGGTACATTTATCATTTTTCTTTAAACATTACTTAACACATTGTTAACAAAAATAAAATAATAAACACACAAAAAATAAATAAAATCTTCATCATACATATTGCTAATAAAATTATTATTACTAATTTCAAGAACTAAACACTTTTCTTTGCATTAAATAAAATTATCTCTTGCTTTGCATTTTACAAATTGTGATCCCTTGTTGCTCTTCGAAATCCAGTTTGTAAACTCTGGCAGATGTTCACATACTTTTTTATAATTTTCCAAATATTTTATTTACTTTTTTGATTTTTGACTGGTGCCTTCACCTCCACTATCACTAATATCACCAGTGGCCATAACCAGTGTTGGACAAAAATTGATTTTTTTTATATATAAAAAATCACTGATTTACTTAAATTAATCAAAAAAATCATGATTTTTTTTATTTTTATTAAATCAATTGATAAATCCGCTTAATTAGCTGTTTTAAAGTCATTGCAATTGTTGCCGAGAACATTCAAGCTAAGTTGAAAAGATTCAATACTTCTCCCAACGCATTTTCGACGGAAAATTCTTGTCGCAACGGCCCGCGACTCGTTTTCGCACGTTGCCAGGCATAATCTATAAATGCCGTCGCCTTTCTTCGGTCTTATTCATTTCGTCAGAAAATTTCAAGAGAGGCTAATGTTGAAAAGTGTGTACATTTTTTGTGTTTGTGTAATAATAATAAGTCAGTTTGAAAAGAA